ACATATTTCAGGAAATTCATTAAACACATTTTCACCAATTCACTAAACAATAAAACTGCAGTTTCTCTCATTTGTTTTGTTGCTCTGGGTTCAGACACTAGAATTTGAAGAGAGGCAGTGAAACGAACAATTTACTCATAAAATTAGCCAAGCCATTAATAAAAAAGGGTGTTTTAGGATTTTTAAATTGAATTATTTTAAAATGGATTAAACATGTCCAAACCCGACCTACACATCTGTAAAGAGAAGGTAAGGTCCACCCATTCTCCCACCTGCACATGTTTCACCTGCGCTCTGAGCACGCGCGCCCTCTAGCGGTCACGAGGARCGGTTACTTACGGTAGAAGACGTACTCCGTGTAGCTGGACCAGACCTTGTCCTCCGTGTGCTGGTTGACAAACGAGGCCGTGACCGACGAGTTGCAGGCCACCATTTGGAAACTGCACTCCGACAACATGTCAAAAGCTCTCTCCAGGTGCTTGAACTTGAGGTAGAACCGGGAGGTGTACCGGTCCGGGGTCCGGTCCGGGTCCCGGCTCTCGTTTAAAGTCTCCCCGAACACCTCTTTAGCCAAGGCCACCCTGCCGCAGATCAGTATCCGAGGGACCCTCCGGAACTTGGCGTCCGACTGGCTCTCCCGGCCCATGGTGCACGAGCCCCGGTAGCCCACCGTGATGAAGCCGCTCTTTCTGTCCGCGGGGACCAAGGAGGGCGGCGGGCACTGCCGGTGGTCGCTGCCCTGAGAGCCGTCCTCGTGGTCGCTGTGGAAGCAATCATCCGGGCTGTGTTTGAGATCCTCCGGGGTCAAGAGCTTGACCAGGTCGGGCAGCTGGAAGTACTCCGCCTCCTTCCTGAGCCTCCCTTTCTCCGGGAAGTGGTCCGGCAGAACGACCTGCTTGTCCCGGAGAAAATCCAACACGTAGCGGAACAAAAAGCCGTCCCTGTCGATGAAGTAACGACCCTTGGGGTCCCTCGCCAGGTCGTTAGTCGCGTCTTTTTTGAAGGAGAAGAGCTTCCCGAGCAGCGAGTTGGGGGTGCCCACCAAAGTTGAGTGGCGCGTGTAATAAACCTGACCCCCCACGTTCAGCTCCACAACATCTGGGAAACTGTTCTGCACCGACGCCTGGTCTTTGGGATTAGTCCTACAGTTTCCACTCAGCGCCATCATTTCCGTCATGAAACAAACACCTCTGGAGCCTCTCAAAAACGATTGAAATAAAACAAAAMCAAAAATGGATCAGTGTCAAAAGTTCTTCAACTTCATCTCACATAATCATGACTGGTTTATCCCAGTTAATTCCCTGTCATTGCTGGGATTTTGCCGAAAATGTTGAGYGAAAAGAGAGAGAAAGAAAAAGAGAGCGAGGGAGGACAAAAATCAGTGCTGCATGAGAGGAAAACCGTCTCAGAGGTTTGCATYAGAGGCTGTAGGACTCCGATCGCCTGTGGGAGAACAGCATTAGTCTTGTACGGGGAGGTGGAGGCTGGAAAAAAAAAGCCTAATGCACCGAGAGGAAAACACACTTGCCTTGAAATACTCCTTTTTTTTTTTTTTTTTTTTTTTTTTTGTTTATTCTGCATCTCAAAAGAACCACGATCGATGGTTAAATTTTTTTTTTTTTTTGTTCTCGTTCCGGGGAGTGTTGTCCAAGACGATCCTGTCTCCAGTAAAACTAAACCCAAGAAAGTTCTTTCAGCAGTATTTTAGTCCAAACAGAAGGGCGCGCTTCAACTTCCAGTGAACACCAAGAGATTCCCTGGAGGGAAAAAAAAAAATAGAAGGGAAAGAAAAAAAAMACAGCGCCTTGGAGAAACTTCACAGAGATTGCACTGATTTCCACTACAGTGTCATTAAAGAAAAACATATATTAAAAAATAAATTAATTAATTTAAAAAATAATTAAAAAAAAAACGTCTAATGTCTGCTCCTGTGGTGTAAAAGTCCCACTTCCGTTCTGGTTTCCTGGGCTTTCAGAGCAGCTGAGCAGGTCTGCTGGCTGCTGGTACCCGGAGCTGTCCGCGGTGCTGAAAGGAGCAGCTCAGCCTCCCTCCCTCCCGTCGCTGCGCACACTCGCACCGCCTCCCTTTCCCGACAGAGTTGGGTGGTGTCTTCTCTGCTGCCCCACTCTCATCCCTCCTCCAGCACACATCCACACAAGCAGCAGGCTTCTAATCATACAAAATAATAATAATAATAATAATAATAATAATAATAATAGGTGAGCTTGATCCAGTAAAAGGTAAAGTTTAAGGCTTTTTAACGAGGCACAAAGTGATAGATGCGCTCTGCACTCATATTAACATTAGTTATTTGCTTGAATAGATAATTGCACAGCTTTTAATTTAGTTCCTGATCACAGTTTTGCCGGTTTTACTCGGTTCTGCAACATATCAGGTGTGTAAAGAACACGGAGTGTCCCCAAACCTGCTGAACGATTTCAGGTGCATATGAGATATTTTTTTTTCTCTTTGCTGCATGAAATGAGCAACAGCGCCCCCCTCTGTTACTCATAGGTTATCATTTCTGACTCAGTGTGCACGAGTTTCYCAATGTGTATTCATCCTACCTCGACCATTCAAACAGACAAGCCAATCAGATGTTACATTTCATTTTTATTTTTCAAATAAGCTTCATTTAAACAAAAAAAATGCTTCATGAAATATGTTTTTGCRGAGACAAACAAAAGCATTAAATGTTGACTGCTGAATGTGAAATGAACTGTGACAACATTTAATTGCATTTTCAAGCAGATTTGAGTGCAAATTTTGATTTTTTTTAACCTGTTAAAGCACATTTTAGATTATCAGGAACAGTGTGTTCAAGTTAAAGACAAGCTTAGAGACACTTGGAAATGTTCTTGATGTGCAGTCAATATAAATCATCTTTAAATTGTACAATTTATAAGTTGTGATTTATTTTGTCAATATAGGAGTTACGTAAGAAACTGTTCACTCTAAAATGTAGTTTATCTTGGATCTACTGTAAGTGTCCATAACACAACCACTAGTTACAGTATGTTTGAACATCAGGGCAAAATCCATTATCTAYATGGATTCAAACCAGACTTTATGAATGTAGGGTTCTACAGGGTTCTAATGTAGCCTTCAGCACAAAATCTACTTATAGTTTCACTTGGCTTGGGATTGTTTACTGCCTTTAAGAAAAACACACTTTTTAAAACCTAGATACAGACAGATGCTCAGCTTTATATGTTATTATGCTTTAAAATTAGAAGATCTTTGTTTTACAATCCAATACATTACAACATGATACAGCAAACTTTATTTGTCCTCTTGGGAAATGTGAGTTAATAACTTGATCCTGTATAGGACAGAAAATAACAGTGATTYAGACAAAGGCACTGTAAAATCAGCTCAGATGAAGATAAAGAGATGTTGAGAGGAGAGATGTGAGCCTCGCTGGGACCTGAGCAGTCACCTAGAAGTAGGCCATGTTGGCAGCTTCATCACAAATACATGTGGCCACTACAACACTCTCTGCCCCGCTGCTATTTAAAGAGCAGATGACCGATCACCTGTAAGGAGTTCTAAACTAGTTTGGGCTGATGCGCTCATTTCGTCCAACCTCTCCGTGTGCAGAGTTGTATAAAGTACCTCAAAGTGATACTTGAGTAAAAGTACAAGTATCTTATCATGAAATTACTTTGGTAAAAGTTAAAGTCTCCTCCAAGACTATTACTTTAGTAAAATCTTAAAGTATCTGATATTTTTGTAAAGTATCAAAAGTAAATTTCTGACATAAAATGTACTTAAATATTAAAAGTAAAAGTACTGAGTAAAAATGAGCGGTTAGGTTTTCCAAAATGACATTTATTGGGAGGTGAACTCTTCAAAAATATGTTTTTCTAAACATATTCAGGTGTGATGGATTGTGTAGAATTTGGTGYCAGAATGGTAAATATTTAGACTTCTCATACAACTACCGTACAATTAAATTAACTCTATCAGGAGACACATTTTATCTGAATATTTTTTTTACAATAATGAGCTGAAATGAAATAGGAGTGATGACTTTCTACTTTTTACCTTATTAAAAATGTAAGGAGTAGAAGTAAATAGTAGAATGAAAAATAATCATTCAAGCAAAGTACAAATACCCAAAATTTCTACTTAAATACAGTAACAAAGTATTTGTACTTGGTTACTTTACAACTCTGTCCATCTGATGTTAAAAACAAGCTTGCAGAGTGATGACCATCACAAAAATGACATATTTTTTAAAAGTGTTTATCTTCCATTACAAAATGCACCATTACTGCACACTTGTGAGAATGTGGCAAATATTTTACTCATGTGTGTGTTTTTGTTTGTGTGTAGGGTTAGTAAAATAACTGATCATTGGATGTATTGACTGATAAACTTCTAACAGCTAAACAACCTTATCAAACACCAAAATGGGAACAACATTAACACATTTACAGACAATAGGGTTGTAATTAACCAGCGTTGACAGATATTAGTGAAACTCTCAGAAAGTAATGATTAAATGTGCATTCACAATTCAACAATAATGGCTATAGCTAAATGAATTATTAGGCTAATATTGGTGTAGTACTTGACTGTGTTGCATAAGACAGTGCATCATGCAATTTATAAGGTGACCAAAGCAGCAACAGACTCAACATGAGATCTTAGTTTTAACACTCCAGCATAAAGGGTGGCAATATGCATTCCTTAATGGAAGGTTAGACTTTTCATTTCATAAAAAAAAAAAACTCTGGATTAATGATTCAGAGCTCCTACTGCATTTTGGCAAATCTGTTGCAACAGATTTATAGTGTTTACAAGCTTCAAAGTCAATTGCAATACTATTCCACAACTTCAAAATTTATTTCCGTTTGCGGTTAGCTGATACAAAAAAATACATATGTTGAAATATTTAGCCCAGAAGCTTAGAAGCAACATACATAATTTGTTATGTTTCCAAGAGGGACACCCTTTCAGAGAGCTTTTTTTAATTTTTCACTTGAAAAAGAAATTGACTTCTTTCACACTCAGATGTAAAATCATCACCACTTCACCTCACTTCACGTCTCCGGCACAGTTCTGCTCACAGCGCAGTCGTTTTCTTCCTGCGCGATGCACTGCAAATGGTTGAAGGATTTTTTTTCTTCTTCTTTTTTCCCCCTGGCCAGTCACAGATGGTTGAAAGTAAATAGCACACTTCTCCCACTTCCATCTCTCATTACGGTCGCACACACTGAACGTCGCCAGGCAATGAGAAATCTGCAACTACAGCAAGCAGACATTCAATGCATAAATTCACTCAACTCGGAGAGAGATCCAAATTACTTTTTTATGCAAGCCTCAACTACTTCACCGACCTGGGTATTTGTTTATTTATTTGTTTTAGTCAGATATTCATATTGTGCAGAACCTTGGCCTAAAAATAACTCAGACTGTTAGTTTGAAAGATKTAACTGTAAGCAGCTTTAGTCACAGATTATCTGTCAAAATGCTTAAATGTTCAAAACAAATATTGGCCTTTAGCGCACTGCTGCAGTTCTTCTTAAAARTAGTGATATAATGATAGCATTTTCAGTTGCTATAAGTGCAAGTTTAGAAATAATTAGGAAACAGCAAAAATTGTTGTAGTCAACCAGTAGTTTTCTTCCATTTTGTTTTTAGTTAAACTACTAAAAAATATATCTACTCACTCAAATACTTACTAATTATTCTTCATTTTTATTTAATATTAGAGTTGTCAAGGTTTGACCAAAAAGACTAAAATAAGATGATCTTAGGTTAAAACCCATGAGGCTGTTGGTTTGTGAACATTTATTCAGCACAAGTAAATTCATTACTAGTTTTTACACGTCAGCTGTTTAATTAACAAACATGAAAAGACAGAACTCGACGACCATTGCTGATGTCCCTGAATGTAGAGTAAAAATGGCAAACAGTAGCAAATGTCCCCATGATATTGCAAGATTRCTCGTGATCTACAAATGCTCAGTGTTGGCACATACTTCAATCTATTTACAAATAAAATTCAGCTCAATGGCTGCTTTTGTTACTGAGCTACTGCCATTTTTATGTGAAGCAAGGTTCRGCTTCGGTAGCAGCCATCTTGGATCACATGACCTTGCAGATGTCACCAGGGCTCAAACATTCAGTAGTGACTAGCTGTTAGCAGTTTTGTTGGAATCGTCACAGGCTTTCATCTCATGAGGTGAATGGACCGACAGACAGGTGGACGAACAGAGAGAATTTCTATGGCTGTGTCCAAATTCAGGAGCTGGGTCCTTCGAAGGACYCGGCCTACCGGGTTTAGGTGGGCCAAGTCCTTGGTCAACCGCGAATATCAGAAAAAAGTGCCTGTGAATTTGGATGGTCTAGCCTCCATTTTTATTCCCACCCTTACCCTGGTGTGTCTCCTAGCTCCTAGTGACTGTGATGATGCTTAACAGATGCAAAACTAGATCTAAATGAGCAAAATATCAATATATTAGTATTATAAATATCACAAAACAACAAAGTTAGTGTAAAGGTAACATATTAAGAACTAAGGGACTCGCCGTACGCATGTCTATTTCTCTACCAGC